GATGAACTACGCACCAACCTCGACCTACTTGATGAAGTACGGGACCTCGCATACATTAGGACCGCGGCCTACCAACAGAGAGTAGCTCGGTACTATAACGCCAGGGTCAAGAAGCGAAACCACCGCGTCGGAGACCTGGTTCTTTGTAAAGTCATGGTACCTGAGCCCGGTGTTGGTAAGCTCGGGTCAAATTGGGAAGGACCCTACCGAGTAAAGCGGGTACTCGGGGAAAGAACGTATGAGATCAAAGCCCTAGAAGGGAAGCAGGCACCTCGGGCATGGAATATTGTCAACTTAAGGCAATATTACCTGTAATTACTGAGTCAAGTGGACCACAAGTCGCTCCTTGAGCCTAAGGGCCAAAGCGCCAAGCTAATAAAAGACCTCGGCACTATAAGACCCAGTTGCCTCTTCGGCATGGGCGAACTCCAGAAGAGAGTGGACTATAAGTTGTTCCCCCAGCCTAAGGGCTAAAACGCCGAGCTAACAAAAGACCTCGGCACTATAAGACCCAGTCGCCTCTTCGGCATGGGCGAACTCCGGAAGAGAGTGGACCACAAGTCGCTCCCAAAGCCTAAGGGCCAAAGTGCCGAGCTAACAAAAAAACCTCGGCACTATAAGACCCAGTCGCCTCTTCGGCATGGGCGAACTCCAAAAGAGAGTGGACCACAAGTCACTCCCAAAGCCTAAGGACCAAAGTGCCGAGCTAACAAAAGAACCTCGGTACTATAAGACCCAGTCGCCTCTTCGGCATGGGCGAACTCCTGAAGAGAGTGGACTATAAGTCGCTCCCCCAGCCTAAGGGCTAAAATGCCAAGCTAACAAAAGAACCTCGGCACTATAAGACCCAGTCGCCTCTTCGGCATGGGCGAACTCCAGAAGAGAGTGGACTATAAGTCACTCCCCCAGCCTAAGGGCTAAAACGCCGAGCTAACAAAAGACCTCGGCACCACAAAATGTCTAAAGTATAGGCAGCTCGGGTATGAGCACCTATAATAGCTCGGGCATATCAAGCAATTTGACCTAGGCGAAGTAACCTATGCGCAGACAGGTCGGGCATGCACCCTACAATATCGCTCACTTCGGTGTACACCTCGTGAAATTGTCCCTAAGTGACAGTTTGGGGTAATAGCTAAGGAACCCCTACTTCGGTCATCTAGCTCGATAGTTCAATAGTTCGGAAAAAATCACCATGGTTAGAAGATCAATTGCACAGCACTTAACAAAAAATGTATTTCATTATAAAAGAGTTCGTTACAAAAAGGGGGAAAGAAGAAAAAGAAACTGAGCTCGTAGGCTCACAGTACAAAAAACTACTTGGGGCACTCGTCGCTCTTGCCCGAAGCCTCGGCGGAGGAGCCAGCCTTGTCATCGGCATTGGTCTCTGCAATGTCATCACCGTCGCTCTCCGCTTCCGAGTCCGAGTCTTCAGCAGCTTCAAGGGCTACCTCCTTTGTGATTCGCAAGGTAGTGATGACACTCACATCGAGCTACGAGAACTCGCACTAGATCAGCCACCTACTGAGCTTGAAGCCTTTGCGGTAGCCCTCCGCCCCAGCCTCGACCAGCTCTCCCTCGAACTCCTCCGAGCTCTTATAATCCTGGACAGCCTTGACCTTGGCCTCTTCCATGGCTTGGAGGAAGATTTCAGTTCGCTCCTTGACGTCCGCCTCGAGGTTCTCCACCTTACGCTCCAAACCCGCCTTCTTTGATATCAGTGACTCGATAAGCTCTTTTTGAGCTCGCACACTATTCTCCAGATGATGGATCTTTCCGTGAGCTAAATTTAGTTCAGTATGAGCCTCACGAGACGAACTCTCAGTAGCTAGAGCCCGCTTTAAGTGCTGCTCAGACTAGTAGGTCAAGGCATGCACGGCGGAGTTCACCTGCCAAGAATATAAGTTAGTACCGCCACAGCCACAAATACAAAAAATCGAAGTAAAACAAGACTTACCACCATGCAGTGGGTAGCCGCCCGAGCTCCGAGCTGAGCAGGCGTTAGTTCAGCCCAACTTGCGACCTCCTCAGAGTATACAGCCTCTTTGCTCTTTTGAAGGCTATATTGCGGAGTCAGGATACTCCGAACTGTCTCTCCGCTCCCCGAGGAAGCAACAGTCGTCGCAGGGCGGGCCCCGAGGACGTCTCGGGCGCACAAGGTAGGACCCTCTCCGTCTCCAAGTCAATCACCGGAGGCGCACGGGAAGGTTGTTCGGGCTTAGGGATGACGGGCTCTGGAGACTCGGTTTGAGCTCTTTTAGTAGCTCGCTTCTTTCCCTTCATCTGCCCAAGAAGCTTGTCCGCGTTGAGATGCATGGGAGCTACAACAAAACCTGGCGTTAGCAACGTCAACAAGAATAAAATACCAACTGTCAAAAATAACTCTAAACCAAAGACGACCTAACAGGACTCAAGCCGGCCTGCACGAGCTTATCTTCGGCAAGGTAGTCCTTGCAATGGAAGTCGAGCTCTGCCCATGATTGGAGCGTCTCCCTTGTCTTCAAGTCCAGCCTAACACCGGAATCCTGAATGGTAGCCCTCCAATGGGTAGGGAAAGGCCACTCTATGGGATTGCGAACTACGAAATAACTCCGCTTCCAGGCTGGGATCTTATTGGGTAGTTCGTGTAAAAGTTTATAGCCTGGGCGAGGTGACAGATAATAGGTTCACTTATGCTCGGGAAGGACACAGGAAGAATTTCTCTTGATTGATAAAATAGAAGAAAAAATTTCGAGGTCGAGAGGTAGATAGTACTCGTAAAAAAGAGAGATCGTCCCTACTACATTCCGAATTGAGTTCGGGTGTAATTGGTCTATAGTAATGTCGAAGAACTTCAGAACCTCAATGATCAAGGGATGCAAAGGTAAGCGAAGACCAGCCACGAGCTGCTCTTCGAAGATTACGATCTCGTTATGATCGTGCTCCCAAGGGAAGTTAGGTACGGGGAGACTGTAGGTGTACTCTTCCGGGAGGTGGTATCGACCTATCAAAGCCCTAAGTCTATCTACGGTCAGCGTCGAGGGACCGAACCTGTCCGACGCCCTCGAGGAGAAGTAGACGCCGGATTATTCACGGCCTCTCGTGCCTCCCAAGATGACTCCACCTCAGGAGGACCGACCTGAGCCGAGGTACCTTCCTCGGGCTCATCCAAGAGACTATCAAAACTAAGTTGTGACATGACTATTGAACTGAACCAAACTGAAAAAGAAAAGCTAGGGGAGACTCACCAAGAAGAGAGACCGAACTGAAGGACTGACAAACTAGAAAACCCGAGCTAAGGACTTTAACCGCGACCTCAAGGCGAATGCTAGTGAACTTATGGCGAAGAAAATGACTCGCCCCCCCCCCCTATGTATAGCCGCAAGGTCAAGGGATCAACGGTCAAGATCAAGGAGATCTGACGGTTCCTGAGAAAACCGGTTGCATGACCCTCGAGGTCGAAATCAGTTTAGTGCATTTTTTGGCGTCCGCGGAGTCTATAGATCGCGTGACGTCCGCGCGTAAACCACACGCGACCTGGGTTATACTTGGTTGAGCCGAGTAGCCAAACTGGTCCGATCGACGAACTATCTGACTGGACGGCCTGAACCTCAAGCCAAATCCACCCGTCACGCCGTGAACTCCCCGCACCAGGTCAGGACCCCTGGCTCGGGGAGTGGGGGGCAATTGATGGAGGGTGATTTGGCCCGACCTCATAATAAGGGGACACGTGGACGTGACTCGACATAAGTGACAGCTTAGCATAATGAGTTCGGTACAACTCAGCGTAACAAGCTCGCTATAACCCAGCCTGATAGCCCGCCGGAAGTGGCAGCTCGCTACAAGATGATACTCCGATATCCCGAGCTAAGACTCCCAAATAGGAAGCACCCCGAGCTAAGACTCTCCCAAGTAGGGAGCATTCCGAACTGAAGACACCTCGGGTTAAGCTCGCCAGCCCCCTAACTAGGATAAGCTCGCTCCTGCCTAAACTTAAGTAGGCTACCTCAAAGACCCGCCTCGGAGAAGCACCTCGGCGCATCACCAGTAGCTCGGTGTTAGGTAGCTCGCTGCAGAGCAGCTCGGCGTATCGTAGGAGATTTTCCGCCTGACAACCGTACTTGCCAGACTGCACCCACGTCTCTCTCCTAGAGGCATCGTGCCTGCCATCATTGAAGGTCGTTTCTTGTCTGGTAGGGTCATACTCTGCAGCGATCACCTTTGCCCGACAGCTCAGCTCTGACAAATAACGGCCAGCCACTCCAAGCCGTTATTTGACAGTAGATCGCCGCAGCAGAGATTCGGAGGCGGTTGCACCTGACATGTCAGGATACCAGTATATAAGGACCCCGACCCCCAAGGGCGAAGGTATTGCGTGATCTTCACTCTAGCTCTAATTTCTCTACAACTCTCTCTCTCTTTCGCTCTCCCAACTTACTAACTTAATCGTCGGAGTGTTCTTGCCGGGTGAGCCCCCCGGGATCCTTCATCTTCTTCCTCACAGGTGTCTCTCGCTCGTCGCCAGCTAGGAGCGCAGCCACTTCCAGCTAGGAGTGACCAGATCGCGCACCATCACGTTTCATGACTTATTCAAATCAATAGTTTTGAAGTTCATGAACTGGTTATTACTTGGATATTTGGGGCTTTTGAGATTTTCCAAAAGATGTAAAATTGATAGCATTGACATTTACAATATTTTGGTGCAAAACACAGAATTTTGTAGGCGTCAATCAAATATAGGATCAATGCAATCTAACTGCTTTGATAAAAAAGCTCATCATAAAGACTTTCTAAAAAGATAATAGTTAAAAAACATGTAAGAGAAGAATGATATGTTTTTTGTTGTGATAGTTTTTATGGTTAAATAAAAAAATGAAGTATGAAAAATGTCAACGTCTTTATCCAAACCCTATACCAATTTCAGAAGAGAAATTATTTGAGAAAGATGGTAGTGAACTGAGAAATAATAGAACATCCTCAGACCACAGCACAAAATTTTGTAGAGTATATCTAATAAGAGTTACCTTCACCAATTTCAAATTCTTCGAACTCATCATCATCTTCAAAAAGGTCAACCTTGGCATCTTCAGTTGCTACCTTTGATTCAGTTGCCATGATAACACACTTGAAAGACCTGCAAATGGTTGCAAATGCCAACAGTGACTCAATAAATGAACTTAGCCCTGACATAACACGTAACAAAATGTATGCGAATGGTAGAACAAATTGCTATTGGAACAAAAGAAAGCACCAAATATCCCATAATGGCAGAACCTTATAAGTCAGTAAGACTGGCATCTTTTCTCAAGTTCAATATCCACAAGTACCAACACAAACTCTTCTAATACCAGTAAAAGACTCGTGTATTTATTGGCATTGTAAAACCGTGATGAGTATTTAGTTACTGCAATCATTACAATTACCTTCACAAAAATACCCAGCTAGTATCATTGTCAGACTTCTAGTCCAAGTAAATGAGTACTATGTTTCAAACAGAGTTGCAGACTCAACTTCTTATCCAGTAAAGCCCTACCTATGTATTACATGTATAAGTTTCCTAATTTGAAAATGAAAAAAAAAAAAAAAAAACTAAGATTCTCCAAGATCTTCAACTTTCGTTTCCTTCCTTTGCTCTCAGCGTGATCCTTATTGATCATTTGATCATAAGCAGTCAAATTCATCAACCAATGGAAGCTTAGTTTCTGAAAAGATCTCAATCAGGATCTTGAAAACCGAAATATTCATGAGGTGTCTTTCTTTGATGGAACCACTAGGCTCCGCCCATCTCCCCACACAATAGCATTAACAAACCAAGTTTCAGAAAATTCTCAAAAAATCTTTCATTTTTATGGTTCAAAACCAAAGAAAACAGTAGAGTAAAATACCCAGATAAGTAGGAACTCTGAATAGGAACCGTGCAAACCCTTACATGAAAATCCTAATTTAGTTTATTTCATACCTGAAAAACGTGAACTTCGAAAAATGTGGAGGATTTTCCTTCTGAAACAATGGTTGGGAGGTGGAAGGGCGTTTTGCAACAATGACGAAAGGTTAGCGAAGCTGGCTTTAAGCTTAAGGTACCGGAACTGAGAGAGGAATGAAACCAGATGCTTCCATCTATTGCTGCAAACTTTGCTGCAACAACGAAGAGATCCTATACACGTAAGAGAAATCATCGGGCCAGATCCAGCCTACCCCTACGACGGGCCCAGGTAAGGGCTATTGGGCCTGCAAAGCCCGTAACAACAATGGCTGTAAATGGGTTGGACTCGGATCGAATCAGCCTAGATTTGATATCGGGGTTCGAATAGGATTTTATCCATTGGATTTTGATTGAATCTAGATATTATTTATCATTAATAAATGAAATCACAAATAACCAAGATGTTATATTTTATTGATAAAAAGAATTAGAAATGGCTTGGCTAGTATATAACATTAGTAAAATGAATTAAAACTAATTTCTAAAAAAGCTGGAGTTATGAGCCTTTAATGAAAATATGATATTTAACCAACTTTATTATTTAGAAAAAGCCAACTATATCAACAAAAATATATTAATTTTTTATAGACATATGCAAATCTGACCTTAATTGGACTGGAGTGGGTGGATCTAGATCCAATTCAATTAGATTCGATTTAAATGTACATGTTTATGCTTATATATGCTTGATATTTATAGGGGTAATAGCATATAATATAAGGGCAACCTTTGGGGTTTAATATCAATAAAAGTAATATATTTAAAAGAATTTCAAAAATGGGTTAATTTTTTAAAAATAATATCAATAAAAGGCAAAAATACTATTCATCATTTTCTTCTTGCCATTTGTTCATCAGAACCACCGCCCACCACCGTTTGCCACCGTCGTCCATTGTTGCCCGCTGCTGCCTCCACCTCTAACAACATTACCGGAGGTGTCTAGAGGCAGAGGTGGCAGCAACGGTGCTGGTGGTCATTCCTTTGCTCACCGCCGCTGCCACCTCTGTCTCCACCCATCTCCAACGATGTTGTCGGAGGCGGAGGCGGAGATGGGCGGAGGTGGCGGCGTTGGATAGAGAAACCACCAGTGCCGTTGCCGCCACCTCTGCCTCCAGCCACCTCCGGCAACATTGCCAAAGGCAGAGGTGGAGGTGGGCAGAGGCGGCGGCAGGCAGCAGCGGACGGCAGCAGGCAGCGGTGGACAGCGGCTTTGATGAACAAATGGCAAGAAGAAGATGATAAACATTGTTTTTGCCCTTTATTGATATTACTTTTAAAAAGTTAACCCATTTTTGAATTTTTTTTAATATATTACTTTTGTTGATATTAAACCCCAAAAGTTGCCCTACGTCTCTCAGTAAAGTTGGTATGAGTAAGGTTTTTAAAACTGAACCAAACAACAAATTGGTTAGGGGTCTGATTCCTAGGTTGAACGGTCTTATTGTTCAAAACGAATGGAAGGCCTATTCTGACAAAAAAAAAAAAGATCAAACCGTTGGATGATTCAAATGGTTTGACCACCTAGGTTAGTGATTTGTTGTCTAAATCAACAGGTTTTGGCGAAATAACAATTCTGGTGAACTGATCACTTGACCAGTGATCGGTTTTTCTGATCCCACCATCCGGTCCGATCTGGTTTTGAAAGCCATGGATATGAGGGCTGCCTATACGGCACCTTATACACTCTTATTGACCAACCTTTGGTACCTGGTGGTCTCATTCCCAGGGGAGGGGGAGGGAATGCCATTCTCTCAAATGGGAGAATGGCATTCTAGGAATGGAAATGGGATCCAATTCTGCCCAACCAAAGAGTTGGAACTAGAATTGACCATTTTGATTCCAATTCCAAATCCCTATTCCCCCATAAACCAAACGGACCCTTAATACATAACTGATAGAAATTCTCCTTCCTTATTCGTTGAATTTGGTAATGAAATACATCTATCTATACTATATAAAAAGTGTGGATATAGAGCGAGTTTTTTGGACTAAAATAGAAATACTCTTTATTTCTTTGTTTAAGACAAAGGTATAAAAGTCATTTTATTATAGCTTTAATAGCTACTAAAATGTGCATATTTGTGTATTTAGCATGGTTTTTAAAAACGAATCGGTGACCAAACCGGTCAGGGGTCCGGTTATTGGTTCGAACGGTCTGACCGTTCGACCCGAATGGCTAGCCCGTTTTGACGAAAAAATAAAAAAAATAAAAAAAATTAAAACATAGGAAAATGGTCAAAATCGTTCAAACGGTTTGAACGATTAACCAGCAGGTTCAGCAGTTTGCTGACCAAAATCAACGATTTTAGGGGAAAAAGCGGTTTTGGAGGAAAACGGAACCGGTCAAGTCCCGGTTTTTCTGGTCTGACCGTTCGGTCCGGTTTGGTTTTGAGAACAGTGGTATTTAGTCCATCTCTAATTGTAAGGGTTAAAAATGTAACTTCTATTATTACTTCCCACCTCATTAAATCTTATACTTAAGGTATTAACTCTCATATTCTCTTATTAAATCCTATATTTAAGTTATTTTTCACTAATAAATGCTACTAATTAGATTTATGCCAATATTTATAACAATATAAACCCATTTATTTTAAAATTGACTTAAAAACAAAACCATTCTTTATTGAAGTGGTGGTTAAGCAATTCAACCATCACAATCAAATTAGTCAACTTATGAAATCATAGTTAGGTAATAAAATTTTTAAAATAAAAATAAATATAGAAAATTACAAAAATGTAGAACAAATTAGACACATTTATGATATTTTTATTAATCAAATTAAAAAATAAGTGGAATAAATAAGAATTATTTTTATTATTAATGAAAATAAAATACATAATTTGGAACTAACCAAAAATGGAACTATTTATAGTTTGACAAAGACCAATAGTCCAACTTTTGGGGCAAATGTGTTAACATTTAATGTCATAAATAGACAATAAAAATTAGTAAGATTTAAGAAATACAAAAATGAAACAAATACATAATTTTTGCACCAAAACATTCACCCACATGTATAATATCATATAATTATCATATCTATACTACTTATAAAAGTATGAATGAGGAGGTATTGACTTCTGGAATTTTTCTTTACTAAAATACCCTTCCTCTTAAATTTAGTTTATCTCCATTGAAAGGGCAACAAATGTAATTAAAAGAATACCATTAAGTACATTCAATTACCTCTTATTAAGTCTCACATATAAGTCATTAAATAAATCAAATTCTCTCTCATTGGATCCAGCACTTGTACTTTGTTTGTCATCATTAAATTCCACTAATAAATCAATACATAATAATTATTAATATAATGAAATTTTATATTTTTAAAATAAACATAAAAATGAAATCATATTTTTCATCTAGGTGGTGGGTAAGTAGTTCAACCATTTGGGTCAAATGGATAGTTTAAAGATATCATAAATAAATAATACAAATTTAGAAATATAAAAAATATTTTTTGTTTATCATCATTAAGTTTCACTAATAAATCCATATAATTATTAATAGAATGGAATTTTATATTTTCAAAATAAACCTAAAAATGAAATCATATTTTCCATCTAGGTCGTGGGTAAGTACTTCAACCATTTGGGTCAAAATGGAAAATTTCATGATGTCAGGAATAAAACAATACAAATTTAGAAATATAAGAAATACAAAAAATATAGAAAAAAATTGGACATGTTTCTATTATTATATATTTGTCATATTAAAAAATAACTATGATAAAATAGACATAATTTTATTAATGATGGACATCAAATATATGACTTAAAACCGATGGGAAATTAAACCATCTTTCTATCTAAGGGGTGGGTTAGTTGTTCAACCTTTCAGGTCAAATATGTTAACCATTTAGGTCAAATGGATAATTTCATGATGTCATAAATAAAATAATACAAATTTAGAAATATAAGAAATACAAAAAATATAGAAAAAATAAATTTTGAAAAAAAAAACTAGGCATGTTTCTATTATTATATATTTGTCATATTAAAAAATAATTATGATAAAATATACATAATTTTATTAATGATGGACATCAAATATACAACTTAAAATCAATGAGAAATTAAACCATCTTCCTATCTAAGGGGGTGGGTTAGTGGTTCAACATTTTAGGTCAAATATGTTAACATATGATGTATAATTAAAAATATTTTTTTAAATAGAATAATATAAAAAATATGAAACAATTTTGGGCACATCTATAATATTATATATAAATAATGTAAAAAAATAAGTATGATAAATAATAATTATTTTATCAATGATATAAATGAAATGCAAAATTTAAAACCAGTTTGAAAATGAAATCATTTCCATATCTAGATGGTAGGTA